ATGAGAATTTTAATGAGAAATTATGTTTCAGTACATTTATTCAAAGGGAAAATTATCAGTTACTTTCACTTAAAAAGTGAGAGTTTAGCAAATATGATTCACCGCTGAGACTGAACTACCCAACTGAAAAGGCTGTTAAAAATGACCTTCACCTAAAATGGTGAAATAAATACATGCTGTCTATGGATCAGTAATAATAATTACATAATTTAACTACATCTGCTGGAAATATTAATAGATGTTTAGCTGATTAAAGTTAAATAAGAACTTAAGGGACTGTTTTTTTACATCATTACTTAATGTATACTGCATACTGAATCAATGTCCTAATCCTAGTGTCCTAAAAATGTGTTTCCAGACTCTCCTCTCTGTATCAGGGAGGAACAGCACGACAGCAGTGACATCAGTTCTAAGCTTGCAAATCTGAAGAAACTGTTGCCATCTCTGCTCTTGCATGCCCCTCCACCACCTCCTGTCCCACCGAGCATGCACAGACCAACATCAGCTTGTGGTAAGAAAATTTGCAATAAATCAAGACATCAAAACATCTCATGTTTTCCTGGTGTAACAGTTTTGTTGTTGCTATACTGACTTCTAACTCTAAAATGAATTGAACACTTTTTGTCCTGCAAACAACAGATTTAATTCCCCTGCTTTTGCTTTTCTCCTTCAGGCATGTTCAGGTTTTCCCACGAGGCTCCTCCGCCTGCATCCCTGGACTGCGGGCCTTGTAGTAACAGCAGTACTAATTATGTCAACATCCCCGTTAGCCCTCTGCTGTATAAAACTAGAGAGCTACTCTACACAGAGCTGGAGCTGCAGAAACCCAGCTCGGCTCCGGCCTCCAGTCCGGGCAGTGCTGAGAGAGGTAATGCAGTGCAGCTCTGCAGACTCAGTAAGAACATTGCACCTCAAACAGTTTTAGATAACTATTTATCTTCTCCTGCTGCTGCTTTCTTTTTTGGTTTTATATATGCCAAGTGAATAGCTTCAAATCCCATTTTGAGTGCAATATCTCCACTGTTATAATGCATGGCATGTTTGAGACGTTGTTAGAATATAGAACAGCAAGCAAAGCTGGGGCAAACAGCTATGAAACAGATGGTTGATTTGTTGATTATT